ACCAACAAACTGTGCAAATAGGTGTAAGATATCATTAGTTCATTTTGGATAAACTAGAGGCGAAAGTGGCCCATAGTTTGGGTGGCTATTGCACATTTCACCAAAAGCGAAAGACTTCAAATATTTTAAAAAAATTCGGGCCATACGAATTAGAGATTGGAAATTGGTTATTGATGATTGGTAGAGGTTAGTGTTGGTGTACACACACGATCAACACAATACTCGCACCGATTAATTGTTGTCGTTACCGCCAAAATTCGCCCACAGCCAGCAAAACAATTAGTTTGAGGCACTTTTGGTCACTTGAGGGGACAAAAGATGGACGAAAATGGACCCAGCCGCGACCAATCATCAAGATCATCTTCCGCCAATACTCGGGCAGGGAGCGCAGCTGGCCATTTATGTATGCACATATGTATGTAGTTCCGATGGCTATCTGCTGAATGTTTTGTACTTGCGACCGAAGTAGGAGAAGCGAACCGAACGGCAAGCCGTGCTGATAAGCCTTTGGTGTTAGTTAGTGGAGTGGTGGTTATCGATGATGGACAAAGCATAATAAATAAAACATAAAACGCCCTAATAAAACACACTCCGGCCGCTTTGTTACTTTACTCTGGAATACGGATGAATTTTGATTGGAAATACATAGAAGATACATAGAGATCAAATATTCTTGTGCAGAAGATGTGTGTAGGCATCATCTTCGATGTCGCAGTGGTTCAAATTGTCGTTGATTATTTCGATGGCGATGGCACAGGTTAGAAACAGGACATATGTGATGAGGCTCATCCAGCCCACGGGCCTGCCCAGTGTGAACTTGGTCAGCAGGAAACACGCGTACAGGAGGACAATCGTGGCGACCAGCATGGCTGTTGTGATCGTCAGGCCCTCGGAGTGGATCTTGACTGTGTTTTTCTGTATAATAGACTTGAGCAGCCAGGGCAGTCCCAGGCAAATGAAGATGTCGAACGTGTTCGAGCCGATCGCATTGCACATGGCCATTGAGCCGTACCCTAGAGTCGTCAGAGCAGATTGAGGATTGGGTATTGAGGATTTATGACATGAAAGATGGGGAACTATTCACACAAGACTCTTGTGACTCTCTTACCCTTTCTGGTCACGATGTAGGAGGAAACCACCTCGGGCACACTAGTGCCGACGGCCAGGATGGTCAGGCCCATGATCGAGTCGGGTATGCCAATGTTGTAGCCGACAACGGAGAGGAACCAGGCGACCAGATACGATATACCCGAGATCCACAGGACGGCCACAAGCATTGTTAGAAAGAATACGCTCCGCACACTGGGCGTGGTAATGGCCAGTATCAGAATGGCCGGATACTTGATCACCCACCAGGTCACTTCGATGCAGGGGGACCCCTTCTCTGGTTTACTGCACACGTGCTGGCGGAATGTCATCAGTGGGTCCTCCTCCCGCTGCATTGGGTCCTCATCCATCAGCTCCCGCTCGCCTTCCAGTGCTACAAAGTACATATAAATAGGCAAACATTCGAATCATTCATTCGATTCCATCCCCTCACATCGACACAACTTCTGCAGCTTCCGATCGAAGATAAGTGTAGTCAGGTAGACGAAGTAGCAGCTCAGCATGATGATAGCCTCCCACCAGCTCACCTTCGAGTCGATGAGCACAAGGCCAAGTAATGTGATGGAGACCAAGTACCACATGGTATCCCTTGTGATGGGCCACCAGTCCAGCTTAGCCGTCTGCAAGTAAAGATCACGAAGAAGGAAAAGGGGCAAGTCAAAAATGGATAAGGAACAGCTCAGTCAGGGCTTAATGATATGTACCACGCCTGTAAAAATTCCGCAGACGGTGGCAATTCCTAGTACATTGAACACCGAGGATCCTACAATGGTGCCCACACCAATGTCGCCCTCCGTGATGAATGTGCCGACGAATGCAACGAAGAGCTCTGGGGCCGAGGTGGCCGCTGCCAGGAAAGTTGCACCAGCCACATCATAGGTCAAGCGAAGTGCTGGATAGAGAAATGGAAATGCAAATTGTGATGAGTTGTGTGTCCACCACTAGATATAAACTGAGTATTGAACAAGTTTGACAGACAACCTTGTCAGGGCACACTTCGATTTCGAGCATTCACTTGCACGAACTTTCCGAGTGTTTCCGAGAACTTGTTCAGGGGAAAATGGAAAGTTATTGAAATTACTGTAGCACAGCCGCTCCATGGAGGGCACGAGATAGTCGTCACACACAATTGCCAGAAGGATGAACAAATACATGCAGAGTAGAAAACAAATCACCGCCGACGCGATACTCTTCCTTCTCATGAAGTTGGGAAACTCCAGAATGGCGGGGTGAGTGCAATTCAGTTCCACTTCAGCGCGCAGATCACTTCGGTCTGTGGTGGGTGGGGGGTACAGTAAATCAGTAAATTCAAATTGTGATCTTACTGCCGTTTACCAAAGCCGTTCTCCCTGAGCAACCTCTGAAAGTCCGAGTCTCCACCAAAAAACATAATGAGAGCAAAAAAATAAAATTTTAATCAAAATTAAATTAAAAAAAAAACACGACGAAACGAATTTTTACACGAAAACCAAATGAACTTCACGCAAGCCGGATCACTAGTGACTGAAAATAAGTAATCTAGCAGCACCTAGCCCTAGAAAAATGTTCTCAAAGCCTACTCCTTCATCTTATGAATTCAGAACAGTTTTGTGACAGTTTTTTCAGTTTTTGTTTGTTTGTTTTAACCTAATTTATAATCACAGCAAAATTCATATTGCAGTCAAACGCCTCCCTCAGAGACCATGCCTAGTGCCATGATTAGAATTATATTTTTTATACCCGGTACTCAAAGAGTAAATAGGGTATA